ACATTTGGAAATTAAAATGCATACATTAAATAATTTATGGGTCATATAGTACATCATAAAAGCAATAAAAATATTTGTAACTGATCAATACATAACATGTATGAAAATTCATGAGATGCACCAAAGTTATACTTAAAGGATAGTTGTACATACACGTGTTAGAAAAGAATAACTAGATATTAATAGGTATACCATTTAACTCAAGAAATTGAAAAAGGAGAGGGGGGTCAGGGAATAAACCCAAAGAAAGTGGAAGAAAGAAATACTAAAGAACAAAACAATTCAACAAAACCAAAAGCTGGTTCCTTAGATATATTGATCAAATATAGCAGAGAGAAGACACAAATAACAAAATTAAGAATAAAAATGGGAACATAATTCTAGACAGAGCAGAAATTTTAAAAATAAGAGGATACAATGAATAACTTCATGACAATAAATTTGAAAACAGACAAAATGGGGTGATTTCCTAGGGAAACTTAACAAAACTTAAAATTTCTTAAGAAAAAAATCTATAGCAACTAAGAAAATTTATTCATTCGACAAATACTTATAAATGTGCCTGGCACATTTAGGCACAGTTTTAGGTACTGAAGATACAGAGTGAACAAAAAACCAGAAGTCCCTGTTTTCATGGAGTTTCCCTTCTAGTAATGGGAGACAGATTATAAATTAATGAATTGGGTGTGGATAATTCTATGAAGAATAAAGAAATTGAAGGGAGACAGGGCTGTTTTAGGTAGGAAAGTCAAAGAAGTAACATTGGATCTGAAGGAATTGATGGAATAAGCCAAGTGAATATCAGAGAAAGAGTTATCCAGGTATCAGGAGTAGATGCAAAGGCCCTGAGGCCGGAGCATGTTTACTGGAGCAGAGTGAGTATTGTGGATAAGGGAGATTGGCAGAAATAGACATCAGTGAGTTAACCAGTGGCCAGATCATCCTTGTAAGGACTTTTGAGTAAGTTAGAAATCTACCCATGAAATGGAGATGATTATAATAACTTACACTCAAATGATTATGGAATTAATAAATTAATTAAATGCATGTGGAATTTCTTTGTGAAACACTATCCACATGCTAGATTTTTTTTTTCCATCTGAAAATAGAAATCATTTGTCAAAAATGTATTAAGTATGGAGCATCTACCATAGGCTAGAACTTGTTCTAAGCATAAAGAATGCAAACATAATTGACATAGTAGTGCTCGCTGCCCAATATGGGAAACATAAACAATTTTCTGCAGTGTGCTAGGTACTATAATAGAGCAACTAAAGTTTGAAAAGTAGAAGAGGCCTCAAAATTTTATTTTGTAAAGTCTGTAAGGATATATATTAAAGGAAGATAGGCAGATATTTTTATGGTAGCATATATTTTCCTACCTGCCCGGTTGCAAAATATATTTACCAGGCCCCAAAATTGCAAGTAGAATGAGAAATTGGCTTTCTCACTTAGCAGCAGTGGTTGTCAAATGATGTTTCTGCTGAAATGAACAGCTGAATGGGGCCCTTATCACACCTATCTGTAGTGTAACTAACTTGCAGTAGTAGGCAAGAGATAAACATGATTAGAAATCCAGAATTCGAATCATGATATATCCATAGCATCTCAGATGGTTGCTTTAATTCTTTGTCTTTAAAGTTAGTTCATCCTGAAGTAATACTACTTGTTGAGTTTTTCTTAACAATAAATGATATAGTTCAGGCTTTTGCCAGTTCTTTGTTGTTAAGCTTTATTAGAGGCTCATTTGTAGAGCATATAGCCTGACTCTTAAAGATTCTCTTGCCCTTTCAGTCTGTTTTGGCAGATTGTACTCTTAAAACACTCAGCTACTCTGAAAACTTCTTAACATTTAATGCATGCTTACTGAATGCCAGGTCCTGTCCTCAGGATTATCTCATTGAATCCTCACAACTCTGTAAGATAGGGACTGCTTTCCCTATTCCAGCCTTGAGACAACTGAGACATGGTGAGATTTACTAACAGTCAGGTTCACATGGTTCAGAAGTGGAAGTGCTGGGACTGGAACCGAGGCAGTGACATCAGAGCCTACACACTTTGCTTTTCTGCTTCCCAGGATAGATTGGCAGTAATTGCAGAATATTCCTTGCCTGGAGAGATTTGGATGTGAGGGTCTTTAGCCTGATTGAAATAGGTCAGTAGCTTTGTGAGTTCTGAATTATGTGTTTTGCTGCCCTAGAACACAGTTAAGAAAATTTGGACATCACCACATATTTCCTTTAGGTCCTAAAAAATATATATTCTGCCACAGTTCCAGTCTTGGCTTTGCCATGGACTGCGTGAACTTGAACAAGTTATTTAACCTTGCTTTTGGGTGTTTTTGCTGCAAAAGAAAGGGAATAGACTAGACAATTTTCTGTATTCCCTAATCAATAAATTCTTTGATTAAAGGTTGATATCAACTTCTTTGTCCAGTCATCTAGAACCTACTGTTAAAAACAAAATGGAACACTCAAGTGCTAAGCACTAAAAATATCTCATAAAAATGCTTCCTCCATGTACTCATTGGAACAGGTAATTATTATGGCAACACTGAACTAATTTGAAGTGTTAGCTGTTAATTAAAACATTGCAGAGGTGTATAGTTGTCTTTTGGTGTAACCAGAGCCTCCATTCAAACTTCATTAATCACTTTACAGTTAATGTGTTGAGGAAGGTCAAGACAACTGAGATGCAGTATCCGTTGAAAGTAAACAAATTCCTTTTCTCCAGTTAGAGTGCTATTTGCAAAGTTAAGGGACACACTCGACTCATGCCTGGCATTGCCTTTGTCATCCGCTTCTCCTTGTTGATTAAATGTTAAATTGGTACTGTCATTGCACTGTAAACCAAACCACATAGCATCTTTATTGCTCGAAATTGAACCCAAACTTCCACGGATGAATTAACGTGCGTCATAATTAAATCATCAAACCTCCCCTTTTAATTCACTTGGAAATAGGAGACCTTTCTTTTGGAAAAGAGATCAGTTTTCTTGACAAGCTAATTAAGTTGCCAAACTGTCCGGTGTGGTATATATATTAGACTATCTGCTAATCATTTCCTTATCGCTGCTGCTGGTCTCAAAAGTCCAGGTGTTGCTTGTTGTTCAAAGTAACAACACTGCTCTTTTTACAACTTGTGTATGTATTCAACTATTTGTCTTCATATTTCAGTTCTTGGTTAGTGATTCTAATATACAGTATTTTAAAAAGTTGAAATTGGAAGAATCTGTGATGTATAAGGGGAAATAATATATCATTATTAAATCTTACATATTATTATATTACCTGTATTTACATGGGATAAAGTTACTAAATTTCTTCAAATCACGTTTTAAAGTAGCTTAGTCTAACAGCAGTCTCTATCAGGCATTGAGAAAAATACAGTGTAAGTTTTCATATATCAATTTATTACATGAGTTTGAATATATCACGAATCAAATTATGACTTGAAATGTAGCTTTGCATCGTAAAAGTCTGGTATTAACATAGATTGTAAAGTAAATGGTAATTTGTTCTGAAACCAGTATAATATAGGAGTGCCACTTACAAAGTGTATAACACTTTATGCAAAGTATAAATTTTTTTAATTGGTTAAAGTTTTATAAATAGCATTTAGATATACTAGACAGATTGTTATTTAGACAGTCTCTAGACACTTTCACATTTATCATTGATTGCCCAACTTTATAAATTTACTAAAAATCATTGAACTGTACCCTTAAAACAAGTGAATTTTACTAAAATAAATTATACCTCAATAAAGCTGTTAAAAAATTTGTCAGAGCAACCAAACAAATATTTCTGCCTAAACAGCAGAAAACATTGTTTCCATTTTGGTAATAGTGGAATATATATGGGTTTTGTTTTGTTTTAAGAAGCCAGCAATTTTGGGGCCTGGTAAATATATTTTGTAACCGGGCAGGTAGGGATGAAGAGTTTCTGAGGTGCTAACTTGCATTCCCTGACATCTTCCCTGCCCCATTCACATCTTAACACTGAAAGATTAACACTGACCATTGCGAGGAAGAGCAATATGATCTTGGCTAATGTGTGAAATCTTGCTCTACAGAGCAAGATTTTAGTTCTTGCAGACTCATTTGCTTCTTTATACTTTTATCGGTTTGTGATAACAATGTTTGTTTATGTTATGTAGTTTGTTTTGAAATTTTTATAGAAGGCAAATGGAGAATGGTCAGAACATGCAGTCCTTGCTGTACCTGTGGAAAAGGCCACATTTCATTTAAACACAAAAACTCTTGATGAAAAGTAATGGTATTTTATTTCTGTTACATTTATTTATTTCCAGTGTTTATTTCCTGTTCTCTTACTGTTTTTCATAAATGGGTGTATTTGTATTTCTTGATTGAGGTTGTAGTTATTTCTGATACTTTTGAGTTTGCCTCTATTTTTTAGGAAAAGGTAAACCACATGCTTGAGCCTTATAACTCTGTAAGTTCTTATATGAAATTTGTATTGTAAGCCATAGCTAGTTCTATGTGTTTTGAGAATATTTTGGTGAAATACAGTGATAGAGTTTGCATATGTAATTGAAAGAAACACAAGCAAAACTTCCCATTTTATATGGCTTTGTATAGTGCTTAGCATAGGGCTATGGAGCACTCCTACACACAATGACAGTCATAAGGGATCTGGAGCCAGAAGACCTGCGTTTGAGGTCTTCTTCTGTCAGTACTCACTTTGTGCTGTTGGCCAAACTGCTTGACTTCTCTGTGCTTCATAGCTCTCATGTATTAAAGGAGGACAATAATGCCATGACCTCAGAGGGTTATTTTAAGGTGTAATGTATAGTGAATCACTTTGTAAACCACTAATCTCCAAAGAAATGTGAATTACCGATATTGTTAGTTTTCTTTGAAAGTACCATGTATCCCATTGCTGCAGATATGTTTGGATTTACATTTATGTCCTTAAACATTTTGTAGGTTGTTTAGTGATCTCAAGTGATGTTGTTATTTTTTTTTTTTCTTCCCGTAGAGCATATCATGTCCCAAGTGGGAAAATATTAGCTGTAAAGGTAAGAACTAGATATATTTTCCTTTTCTCTATTAGCTTGAGTCACAGGTATGGTCAAAGAGGAGATGAAATGGTTTAAGGTTTGGGTGGTAGGTAGGGGAAGCTGTGGTCCTGTGGTGACACTGAGGTATCTGCAGGTATTTTAAGTATGCCTTACAATGTTTAGTTGTAAGCTCCTTGCATTGGAATTCTTCTCTTCAAGAAGAGAACACTGCTTGGTGGCATCACCGTCTTCCTGGCCATGCAACTCAAAACCCCATTCTCAGTTGTGCATTTAAATGGTTTAAGGTTTGGGTGGTAGGTAGGGGAAGCTGTGGTCCTGTGGTGACACTGAGGTACCTGTAGGTATTTTAAGTATGCCTTACAATGTTTAGTTGTAAGCTCCTTGCATTGGAATTCTTCTCTTCAAGAAGAGAACACTGCTTGGTGGCATGACCGTCTTCCTGGCCATGCAACTCAAAACCCCATCCTCAGTTGTGCATTCCTTTTCCTCTTTTATCTGCCACAACTGTAAATTGCCACATCCTGTTAGAAATTTTCCCTGAAATATATCCTTTTGTCACTTACTTTCTTGTCATCCCCATTGCCATGACCTTGGCTCAGGCTCACATTGTCTCCTATTTAGACTTTTGAAGTAACTTTCTCACTGTACTTTCAGTGTTTCTTCTCCCACCTTTTACTCTGCCACAGACTTGGGAAGTCAAATCACAGATCTGACCACATAACTGTCTTGCCTCCCCATCCTCAGTCACATACAATATAAAGCCTATGGTCAGCCTCGCTTCTGACTCCTTACAGCATTCTGAAATATCCAAGCACCACACCTGCCAATAGAGTCAAGCTGCACATAACTCAGGGATGTTCTAGACAACTACCTAACAGTGTTCCTCGCTTTTTCCCATTCTGTTTGTAATCCACACCCCATTTCTGCCATTCCACTTTGGATTTAACCTCTGCCACTGCTGTTGGTGCTGAATCTTCCCACTATTTTACATTTCAGATTACCGTAATGGGCTCTTCTTAAATTGCACTTCTGACTGAACCTTCGCTACCTCAAGTCCTAACCCCACAGAATACCACTTCCATCACTGGGCTTTTAACTAACAAATTGGTCGGGCCTACTTTGCTCCCCACCCTCCCCACACATTGGTCAGGCCCTCTACAGATTAGCCCCAACCTGCCTTTATAGGCACGTCTTCTGCTTTACTTGTCTGTTACTTCCTGTCATGCCCGTATTCTCCAGTCTCTGGGTCTTTAGTAATGAAAGCTTTTATTTTTCGAGTGACTACTATGTGCCACGTATTATGATAGGTGTTTTATAACTGTTGTCTTTAATCATTAAAACTACAAAATAAGCCTGTCTATTTTATGTTTGAGGAGACTAAGACTTAGAAAGGTGAATTGTCTAAGGTCACACAGTTGGAAGAGGCAGGGCTGGGATTTAAAATGAAGTCCATCTGACTCCAGGCTCAGGTTGTCTACTAGACCATGCAGCCTTTATACAAGTTACTATCATTGCTCATTCCTCCAGTTTCCATCTATCCTTTCAGGGTTCATCTCCAAGGTGTCTTCTTAGCTATCTACAGTGAGAAACCGGTCTCTTTCCCTAACACTTTCATAGTATGTATTTCTGCATCTTTTATCTTATCTAGGAAACTAAGAAGCAGAGCAATTAGATTTCAATTGGTTATACCTTTTAATAAAGTTAAACCAAAAGTAAGGCTTGCATACTCTGATTGCTAATGCAATCCAGAGTTCTTTCATATTACACCTAGTACAGCATCTAGGATGTATTATGTGGCATTACCAAGTCTGTCTTAAATAACTTAAATGGCTTGTGGTGAGGTGTACAACAGAGCTCCCTCTTGGGGTGTTTTCTTTGATACTCCAACCAAACTAGGTCCACAGAATTTGCAGAATTGAATGAGACTTTAGAGATCATCTGTTGTAGTCCCCCTATTTTACAGAGTTGGAAACTGAGGTCCAGAGAGTTCCCAAGGTATATACTGTAGAGGTCAGACTTCATCGTGGTCTTCCCCTGAGCTCACTGTGTGCAGCTTTATTCTACCGCCTTGGCATTGGATTGTCTTTTCTGTACCTACCTCCTGAGCTCCCTTTTCACTAAGAGAACACCTCCACCAATGTAAGCGCCATTTTCCTATCAAGTTATTTGTTCCTTTGATGTCGATAGTCTCAGATTGTTGCTGATAATGTATTTTAAGACAGTCAACTCTAGGTTATTTACTCTAAGAGAGGGGACTGCTGCTATAAATTATCCAAAAACCTATTATTATTTGGCCTTGCAAGTACATTATAAATTTTTCACTATTTCCTACATTTTGAATTATGTTTAATGTAGGCTAATATTAACATTCTTGAGCATGGTTATTTACATAGGTTATGGTATGGGGCCAACAGCTGTGTCTAGAAAGGATTAAAGGTAATTTTAAAGAAAGGACACATTGACACAAGAGCTGTTAGAGACTTTCAGTAAATGAAAATAGTTGGGGTTTACAAATATACTGTTCACTAGATGTGAACATTAAATTGGGCTTTACAATAAGAACTAGATTATATTTACTTTCTATCCCTAGATTCTTACAAAATCAAATACTAGATGCTCAAACTGTGTTGAATGAATGAATGATTTAAGAGTAGATATGATTATTGTGACTAAACTTTCTGTTTAGTCCTGAGATTTTTGGTAGCCAAGGCAGAAACCATGTAGCTTATATAATAGTCAAAATCTAAGAAAAAGAAAAAGAAATATACTGTTTCTTCAAAACAGGCGAGTTTTTTGTTAATCCTTAGAAGTACATTATTTAGTTTTCAAATATTGGAAGATTTTCCAGATATCTTTATGTTACTGATTTCTAATTTAATTTCATTGCAGTCAAAGAACATACTTGTATATTGGGAATTATTTTAAACTTATTGAGACTTGTTTTATGGCCTAGAATATCTACCTTGGTGAATGTTTCCTGTGCACATGAAAAGAATATATAGTCCATTGTATAGGATATTGTATAAATGCCAATTAGATCAAGTTGGCTGATAGTGGTGTTCAAATCTTATATATGGTTAGTGATTTTTATCTACTTATTCTATCAGTTATTGAAAAAGATGTTGAAATCTCCAACAGTAATTGTGGAATTTGTCTGCTTTTTCCTTATAGGATATTGTATAAATGCCAATTAGATCAAGTTGGCTGATAGTGGTGTTCAAATCTTATGTATGGTTAGTGATTTTTATCTACTTATTCTATCAGTTATTGAAAAAGATGTTGAAATCTCCAACAGTAATTGTGGAATTTGTCTGCTTTTTCCCTACAGTTCTATCATTTTTTACTTCATGTTTTTTGAATATGTATTATTAGGTGCATTTAGGCTTGTTATGTCCTCTTGATGAATTGGCTCCTTTATTATTATGAAGTGACCTTCTTTGTCCATGGTACTATTGTTTGCTTTGAAATCTACATTGTCTGATATTAATATAGACACTCCAGCTTTATTTTGACTAGTATTAGCATGACATAGCCTTTTACTTGTAACCTATTGTATCTTTATATTTGAAGTAGATTTTTTGTAGGCAACATATAGTTGGGTCCTTCTTTTAAATTTAGTCTGATGAAGCTCCATATTAGTAATAGCTTCAGAGACCCTGAAAAAAAATTTACCACGGAGTTTTTCATGATATTAATAAACTATTAATATTAAAAAAAATAAATTCAGTCTTATGAGCTCTGCTTTTTAATTGGGGTGTCAAGACCATTTACATTTCGTGCAATTATTGATATGGTTGGATTCAAATGTGTCATTTTGCTCTTTGTTTTCTACTTGTTCTGTCTGTATGCCGTTTTTAAATGATTTATAGTTAATAGTATACATTTTTAACTTATCATAGTCTCCCTATGTAAGTAATATTGTACCGTTTTATCTATGGTTTAAGAATTTTACAGTAGTATACTTTTATTTCCCTCTTCCTGGCCTTTGTGTTATTTTCATACATTTTAGTTCCTCATACATTATAAACCCCAAATATGTTGTTATTGTTTTTGCTTCAGATATCTATCTGTATTTTAAAGACATTTAAAAAGTAAGGGAAGATGTGTTTTTTTTGTTTTTTTGTTTTTTTTTTTCCTTTTTGTCTTTTTTCGTGACCGGCAACGGGTCGCAACCCTCAGTGTCGCGCCCGTACTGGACCGGGACCGGCAACGGAATCGCAACCCTCGGTGCGGCTCCCGTACCTCGCTCAGCTAGTGAGCGGCCGGTCTGTATGTGGGATCCGAACCCTCGGCGGGAGCGCTGCCGCACTTCCCAAGCGGCGCACTGTAGCAGTGCGACACCGGGCCGGCCCAGGGAAGATGTGTTTTATATTTATCCATATATTTACCAATTCCAGTGCATCCTTATTCCTCTGTGTGATTCAGATTTCCATCTGGTATTATTTTCCTTCTGTCTAAAGGACCTCCCTCCTTTTACATTTGTTATAGGTCTCTTGGTAATGAATTCTTTCAGCTTTGTGTGTCTGAAATAGTGTATATTTCACTTTCCTTTTTGGAAGGTATTTGTATTTTGCTAGATACAGAATTCTAGGTTGACTGCTCCTTTCTTTCAGTATTTTAGATTTTATTTCACTGTTTTCTGGATTACATTCTTTCCAGTGAGTTTACTGCCATTTTAAATCTTTGTTCCTCTGTACAGTAGAACTGGCTTCTTCTCTGGCTCCTTTTAAGATTTTTTTTCTTTATCTTTGGTCTTAAGCAATTTGATTATGATGAACTTTGATGTAATTTTCTTTGTGATTCATATGCTTGGGTTTGTTGAGATTCTTGGATCTGTGGGTATTTAGCTTTAATCAAATTTGGAAAAAGTTTAACCACTATTCCTTTAAGTATTCCTCCCTCACCTTTGGGAATTTCAATTGCATGTTTTAGGTAACTCGAAGTTGTCCCACAGCAAGATGATGCTCTGTTGTTTTAGTCTTTTTTTTCTCTGTGTT